TGTCTATATCTATCTATCTATATAAGAAGCCAGGGTAATATGCTGCTGTATGATTTTGGGGATGTGAATGTTCATATGTAAGCCAGCTCTTTAATGCTGTAATTCATGGCTACATATAGTTTATATACAAACACAGTCTTCTTATCCCCCCACATGCATTTATGTCTGTATTCCGCTCAGTTGCCTGTTTTATTAGGTACACCTATCTGAAACTAACGCAACAGTCGAGCAATAAATCCCCCCTTTCCAGAAGGTTTTATATTCTGTTTTAGTTGTTGATTCAATGTTATGGTCATTTTGGAGGCTGCAGTTTGTGGTGATGTTGTATTGTGTTACACTCAGAGGTGTTTCTCTCTGTGTTTTTGGACATTTTTGCCCTTAGCAGATAGGAGGCAGTGACTGGCTAACAGGAAAAGAAGGGAAAGAGTTGTAGACGACATGCAACAAAGGTCCCAGGCCGGACTCAATATAGAGATGTTGCACTTAGAGGTGTACCTAGATGCGCACTTAGAGGTGTTTCTAATATTTAGTCTACTCTGGCTGATGAAATAATAATAAGAAAGAAATGGGACACAAAATGCTAGAAACACGTCTCAGTATAATTCAACACAGTTCAACTACACAGCAAACTACAGTCTCTGAATATACTGTATTTTTGAGTGGACACATTAACAGGAATACCTGTGCTCTGAAGCCTCATGCAAACGAATACAACAGCCCTGCATAAAGGTTTATGGTTGAGACATTGATATTGAGACAGTGTTAGAGAGGTGCTCACAAACTATGGTATTTAGGCCATAGTTTGTGGTATTGTTGTGTTGGATTGCACTGCACTTTAATTTAATGTGTTCCAGTTATTTGTTCAGCAATCCAATAAACCACCAATGACTACAACTTAAAAAGTCACAATAACCCTTAAGTTACTTAATGCTAATGTTGTGTTTGGGGTATCAGGTCCTCCTAAAAATATACTTAAAATTATTTTTACTAATTACTTTTACTAATTAGATACTTTAGGACCTTAACTAATTTTATGAGAATTGTATATATAAACCTGATTAAGATTTCACATGCTCTATATCTATTATTAGTTTTGACAGTACACAACAGTTCCTTAAACCCACATTCCAAAAGAGTTTGTTTGAATATTCATTCAATTCATAAATGGTCCAACAGGGAGTTTGGCCTCACTGAGGTGTGATTGACCCCTAATCTATTTCTTCTGTGAATCATTTTTTGGCAAACAAAATTAATATATATTTGTTTGTATATGGCCTATAAAACACATAAATAATGATAATGATGTTTGGTGTAATAGAAATGCTTTACGGCCATGTCCATATTTTATCACCTTCATTAAATGTGTATCTCAGTTTGTGGAAATGGGAAGGAGATAGGAAGTAACACTACCCCTCAATTCTACATTTTTCAATAGGATAAAAAGGAATGAAAAAATATATAGAATTATTATTATCATGATTACCCCACTGAAAACATACAGCAGTGGGGTCTGTGGAAACTCAAAAGTTAAAGTTAAATAAATTTCAGCAAAGAACAAGCATTAAAGCAAAATATATATGATGCAGAGTGAATGAAAATCTTATTATAAATATAAAATAAAAAAATAATATCATAGGCGTTTGCAAAAATGTATTTGTTGCAGGGCTCTTATTTTGTATAATTTGTATTAGACTTATTTTGTGCAGGTCTTCCTGTATTTGTGTTCACAAAAAAATATAAAAAACAAAAACAAATAGCATCCTCCAGTTCAACGATGTGAAATCCAGGGTAACTTTTGCTTTGGATTGGTGTGAGTGACCTTTTCACCCAGCATCACTTAACTTAAATAAAAACAAACAATAGTTCAATAGTCAAAAATAATTAAAACTTACAAAGTGTATACATGATAAAAAAAAATGCCATAAACATAAAGAAATCATCATTAAACTGGAGGACAAGTTATATTTTTACACTTATTATTTATACCCTCACTATACAGATAATTGTCCAGACTTATCGGTCTGACCCTTTTCATTTTTATCATGGTGGGAGGACTACGCTGCCCCTGTATGTGGGTTGGAATCTATTCTGCATTAACTATTATTGTATAACTAGTTATTATGCAATTACAATATTGTATAACTCCTTTCGTTTTTCTGTGTTCCTCTAGTGTGTGTGCCCCCACTACCTGCATTAGGTTGTGATGACCCACACTACTTCCAAATGTTTCTGTGACCCTCCCCAATCCTGACTCCTAACCTCTAATCCCTGACCTTTGACCCCCACTATGGGCAGTGTTGGCAGTGGGGTGGCAGGAGAGCAGGAGTTTGCCATGAAGTCTGTGGGCACGAGGACCACCCTGCCTCGGGCCCCTCCTCTCTCTCGCCGTTGCCCTGCCGACCGCAGCTGCAGCGCAGAGCGGCTGCCCCGCCCCCCGGCGACTATATCAGACGGGACGGCTTCTAGCGATGAACGAGGGAGTGTTAGTATCGGGACTGGGACCTGTACCGGAACTGACCGGCCCACCGAAACAGCCTCCTCCACCAACACTGAATGTACCATGACGGCCCCGTCCAACAACAACCAGTTGGAATGTGGCAACGGAGCAGGCAGGCGGGAGAGGGAGTGGGAGAGGGAGAGGGAGAGGCAGCGTGAGAGGGGGAGAGACAGAGACCGGGACAGAGACTGGGACCGAGAGAGGTTAGAGAGAGAGCGAGAGAGGGAGAGGAACCGGGAGAGGGAGCGGGAAAGAGTGGAGAGGGAGAGGCTGGAGCGAGAGAGGGAGCGGGAGAGGGAGAGAGCCAGAGAGAGGGAAAGAGAGAGAATTGAGAGAGAGAAGATAGAAAGGGAGAGGGAGCGAGAGAGGGAAAGGGAGAGGGAAAGGGAAAGAGAGAGGCTGGAGAACGAGAGGTTGGAAAGAGAGAGGGAGAGGGAAATGCAGGCTGCAGGTTTAGATGTTTGTGGGAACATTTTGGGCCGAGGAGCAAATGAGAAGAACGGCGTTGGCATGAACCAACACCATCACAGAGAGATGGCAGCCACCAGGACTGACAGCGAGAACAATCCAATCAGCCATAACCCTCCAAACCACAACCCGCCCAAGATCCTGCCAGTGTCGGGGAAACTGGAGCAGGTACTTCAAGATTGAAGACAGTAGTTCTCAATCTGGGGTTCAGCCCCCTGAAAAGGGGTTGAAAACTGAATCTAAAGATGATCACTGGGGCAGGCAATGGTGGAAAACAAAATTCACACCTTGGGGTCACAAGCAGAAAAGGTTTGGACACCACTGATTTAGAAGACCGGGGTGGAAAATGTTTTTACATTTTGAACTTAGGTACTTAGAACAATAGGTTCAGATTTTTTAAATTTGTCTTAATTCAAAACTCACATTCATGTTGAAAGAGTTATTTGTTGCTGTAATCATGCCTCCTCTGCATACCGGCAATGAAGTGGTTCCTTCCTAGTGTGACTCAAATGTAAGTGAGGGGTGTAGTGTGAGGCTTCAGTAGCAGCACAGTTGGATAAATCAAGTGGGCACCTTCCTAAATCTTTGTAGTATATGTTTTCCTTTTTCTGTTTATCATGCTTCTACTGCAGTTAAGCAAGGAAACAGTGTCGAAACTAAATAAGGGAATTTCACACTCTTTCACTCTTTCACAAATGCATTCTAAAGTTCAGCCTATGCTGAGCTAACAGTCTTAATTAGCTAAATCATGTTGGTTTCTTCCATTACAGCCTTTTGTGTCCCTGAGCTGTGGTTTGGGGGCTAGAAACTAAATGTGGGAATTCTTACTAAAAAGACTATAAGTTTGGAAGATAACTTCTTTATTTGGCTATCTAACAGTTGAAGCTATGTATTAACAAGAACTGTAGACCTTGTCAGCAGTATATTACACTGAAGTCACATTAGAAAGGCCTCACAGCCAGTATGAATAGGAATAATGATTTTTGCCACCAATAACACAAGATTCTCAACCTACCCTTTAAAATTATGATTTATGCCACCTTTTTGCCACGATTAAAGTGCCTCAGAAATACACCAAATGTATCTCAAACTGTTCCAATTATATCATAATATGTATAATGCATGCCCTATATTATGTTATTATGCTTAACACATCACAATGCTGCATTTTATCTACTACAATGTTCTTTTGTCGCTAATTGTTCTTACTGTCTTTCCTTCCATCCTTCCTCCATCTCTATCGTAGGCGATGCAGAACAACTCAGGCCTCGTTCGTCCCTCTGCCTTCAAGCCGGTGGTTCCCAAGAGCTTCCACTCCATGCAGAACCTGGTGGGCCAGGCAGGAGGGGCTGGGAGCGAGGGCAAGACTGAGGCAAGGAGTGATGGGTTCAGTGAGAGCAGAGGAGGCAGGAGAGGAAGGGATGGAGCAGGAGGAGAATCAGGAGAGGTCCCTGAGGCTTTACTCCTGGACCAGGACAGCCCAGTGAGGGTCAGCAGAAGTGAGGGTGGGGGAAATGGTAATGAAGTGGTTCAGGGAGGGATGTCTGACTCAGGGAGGAACTCCCTGACCAGCCTGCCTACCTATACAGGCTCGGGGTCAGGTTGTGGGCCCCCAGCAGTCCTGGGGCCTCTCAGTGCTTCCACCAGCCACATCAACAGGTTGGGCATGGTTGGAGCAGCTGCGGGCCTGGACAAGCTGGAAAAGCCTGGCTACCAGGTAAGGCCATCATCCACACTCACTTAGCCTGGCACTTAATGCACCTCACCGTTATCAGCTGTAATGTGTCATGATGTGGTTCTTTCCTCCAGAACGGGCTCAGTGCCTCAGACAGTGGCCGGTCCTCCTCAGGAAAGAGCTCCTCGTCCTATCAGAGGCTGAGCCACCTGAGTGACGCCCCAGCACCTCTACGCCCTTCCCCCTCTTCTGACGACATCATCCAGGACCTGGAGGACCGCTTGTGGGAGAAAGAGCAAGAGGTCAGAGGCCACTCAGAAATGTCTGATTTGTAGTAGTTTCACATTAAGTGAGTACTCCATTAAAAAGAAGGGGAAGTTAAAGGCACTTAAAGGACCAGTGAATGTCATGTAGACATTTTTGTTTTTATTTTCTCAGTTAAGATCTCTGCTGCCAATCCAATACAGTGGAGATAAATGGAATTTTGGTTGTGGAGCTCAGAACATTGTTAAATTAAATTCAACAGCAACATCTCTTTCCAGAAACAGTGACGCTGTGTCTCTGAATAATCCACAGAACTCAATGCCAAAAGTTTTCATTGTGAAAATCATCCACAGTGAGGTCTATGAATAACTAGGGACATTGTTTCTGGAAAGCCACTTTTTAATCTATATTGTCAATGCCACAAGCATCACAAAAATTCCATTCACCTTCATTATATTGGGGTGGCAGAGAATCTCTGAGAGAGATACTTCAAAACATCCGCACATAAAACTTACAGGAGCACAGAAAAAAATAGATATTTTCCCTGTGACCTGAGTTGTATATTGAATGTGAACTGAAATGAATTGGTGAGAAAAAACCCCACACACGTCCTTGGTTATGAATTTTGTATTGAAAAGTGTGGCACTGGTTGATATTATGTGGACAGATAAACTAAATATTTAAATAAATACTTTTTTATTGTCAGGATTTGTCCAAACTCATACATATCTGTATGGCTGGATCCAACTAAGTGTTCTTTGTAATTTGGATGAAATTACCCTTTAACATCCCCAAAGGCAGCTTTGGATCATAAATGCATTCTCAGCATTCAACCTACAAATAATGTGTGTTAGAGAAATGTGCTAACAGGCTTCAAGTATCATTTTACTGTCTTGTTTTTAGAGATTTGATGTGGTATAAGATGACAAAAACCTTTCAGACCTTGATTTGTTAAAAATAACATTGGTATTTCTTTTAAATATTTGAGAAATGAATGCATTACATTTTTACAAATTCTGGCTTTATGGCCTGTGTGCAGTTTTTCCTGGCAAACTGTATCTTGAGTAGTTTTTTGGCTGCTGAAAAGGTGAATTCCTGGCAGTCTCACATTTTGTTATCCATGCTGGATTTATTCTACTTTTATTATTTAAGTGGCTGCTTTGTGGCCTAATGCCTTCCTCTTTTCTACCAGGTGCAGCATATGCGCAGAAACCTGGACCAAAGTGAGGCAGCAATCATTCAGGTGTTTGAGGAGAAGCAACGTGTTTGGGAGCGACAGATGGACGAGCTGAGACAGAACTATGCCTCGCGCCTGCAGCAGGTGACCTCCCTACATTTTGTGATCCTACTAAACATCCTCAGGATTCCACTGCACTTTGTTTTTCTTAACTTGCATCTTGAGTCCAGGTGCAACCTGTGTGAAATCCTAGAAGAGGTGCAGATTGAAACATGGGGTCGAAATTTGATACAATAATAAGATTTTTTTGGGGGTAAATACACAATAGAAGGTTGATTTTATTTGTAAAATCCAGTTTAAAAGTTGAAGAAATTGGACGTGAACTATACTGCTGCTAAGGGACATATAAACCAAAAACAAGCCCAATTTAAAAAATATGGTGTTATTTCAGTATTCAATATTTAAGTTAAGTGTGGTATTTAAATATCATCTTGGGATTCTAATTGTTAGGGAACTCTCTGTATAAGAGAAAGCTGATAAAACAATCTAAAATTTATAACAAAGTCAATCATTTTTTAAAAAAATTCTGCAGGTTACCCGTCGTGCTCAGCGCTCCCAGACTGCCCTGCAGGCCCAGATTAGCCGTCTGTCCCAGGACAAGAGGAGGCTCCAGGAGGAGATGGCGGCTCTGTTGGCCCAGAGAGAGGAGCTGGAGAGAAAGTGTCTGGATTACAGGAAGGAGCAGGCTGACATCTTGCCTCGTCTGGAGGAGACCAAGTGGGAGGTGAGATATGAGTATATGAGTTGGTGCGCTTGACTAGTTCAGTAAAATGTTATCAGGGTTGCATCATGGTAGACTGAGCAGTGGAGCACTGAGTATACGGTTGCGTGTGAAGCTGCCTATGTATGTGTGTGTGTATGTGTATATGTATGTGTGTATAAGCTATCCCCTTGTATGCAGTGGGATAGGGAGGATATTTACCACAGTACTTAAATACTAAACTACTCCCTCATTCTTCATGTGGCAGGTGTGTCAGAAAGCAGGAGAGATCTCCCTGCTGAAGCAGCAGCTGAGGGAGAGTCAGGCTGAAGTGACCCAGCGAGCTGGAGAGATGGTGGCCCTGAGAGGACAGCTGAAGGAGCTTAATGCCCAGCTGAGGGAGCGGGAGGAAGCCATGCTGGGCCTGAAGGACTCCTATAGCACCAAGAGTCTGGAGCTGGAGAAGTGTGAGGGAGAGCTGAGGAGGACTCTGTCAGAGGTAGGTTTTCAGTTAGTTTATACTCAAAGCACAAACTAATTCATAATTCAAAGAAGTAAACAATCCATTAAAGATCCAATGTGTCATGTTTAGGAGGATATATTGGCAGAAATGGAATAGTAATATGCATAGCTATGTTTTCATGTATAATCACCTAGAAATAAGAATTGTTGTGTACAGACTCCATGGGTTGCCTTCTACAGATGCTACGATATTGAACCGCCATGTTTCTACAGTAGCCTAGAATGGACAAACCTAACACGGGCTCTAGACAGGGCCGTTTGTTTTTCCCACGCTTTGGGGCCACTCTAGTTTCTCCTCGGCAGGAGAGGGTGAAGCGAGTGAGTTGCAATCTGCGACTACACCACTACAAGACACTAAATCCTACACACTGGTCCTTTAAACAGTCTTCAAACATAACATAACAATTTACTATTAGTAAGATTTATCGTAAGATTTTTGATGAAGGGCTTCACGGTATCTCACTTTTCAGTATATAGAGCACAGAAAATGACTTTTAAGTGTCTCATGTAAAACCCTGTAAGATTTAAGATATTATGATAATTTGTGTATAGGACTTTCTCAGTGTAACAAAATGTGCCAGCAGTGCCAGCTTAGCATCTGAAAACATGAGATCCAATATATTTCCTTACACTGAAAAGTGAAGACAGATAAATGCTTTAGGTTCATTTCCCAATTTTATGTACGTAGATTGTGTAAAAACAAGTCTTATTTCTATATAGAAAGCCCCAGTTCGGTCAGGAAATCAAAGTCGTTAAATTTGTCAGCATAAATATTTGAGAGACTGTCAGTCTTATCATTATTTCATTATTAGGAGCGCCAAGGTGACTGTCCAGGATTGTAAAAAAGTTTGCCACATTTTATGCTAATAAGTACCTTTGGTGATAATAATATTAAAGCCCAATAGTTTGTCACATTATCTGGTTTGAAATAGAATTAGAATCCCATTACAATTGTATATTGCTGGTATTTATGGACTTAAAAATTGTCTCACTAAATACTGATCAGACCAGATTTTGTCTGGATTTTTATCTCCCTCAGGTGGCTATGCATCACGCAAAACACATGAAACTTACCACAAGCTACAGGATGTAACGCTTACATTATTCTAGGCCCATTATGATCATTGGAGGGAACGGTGGACTTTATCGAAGGCTTTAGAGTGGTCTATGAAAAGAGCAACACAATGTTGATTATTATCCAAAGCAGTCAAATTATATTCTACAACAAGTGAGATTGCAGGATTGGGATGCTTACCACTAAATCTAGATTGTTGAGCATTTAATCCTCAAAATCCTTCGGAGGGATTCCAAAAACTTGGCGAGGATACTAGGACAAATAGGGGATTGGGCAACATTATATATTACAGTTGCAACGATTTTTTCCTTTGTACTGTATGACCTCATAAACAGCTCACGCACAAATAATATGTATGTTGTGTATTCCTTATGGAAAAGGTAGCAAGTTTAAGTTTAATCTCCTATTAAGTACAATTTACAATTCATCCATTTATCACTAGCTCTTAGTATCTATAGTAGGGCAACTTACAATCCATGCAACAGTAAAATAAGAAAAAGTATTCACATGACTGCTCTCACACTATCCATCAAGGCCCACTCACAGTTTTTTCTGTCTGTACTATTAGTCTCACCTGTTTCAACAGACTGGTCTAACAAATGACAGTACAGACATCCATCACTGCTGCTTTTTGTTCAGTATATGTGCATACATGTGCATGCTTGAAGTCATGCATGTATAGCAAACACAGCTGGATGTGTATTTGTTTGAATGTCTGTGTGAATCTTTTTACACATTATCTCTATTTCTCTATAACTATGTACACTATTTATATCTGATGTTTTTTTGTTTTGTTCTTTTATTCTGTTGTTTTTATTCAGTCCACAGAAATACTGACTGTCAAATACTACATTGAAAATTAAATTATATTCTCCTGTGATATGTATTTTCCTTTCTACAGGTGTCCCTCCTTAGAGAAAAGCTGGGTGTATTTGAGGCAGAGGTGCTTAGTTTAAAGCGGGCTCTGAGTGAAGCGAGCAGAGGAGCAGAAGTTGTCATGAGTCCTAACTTAGCTGCTGCAGGGCTGTTGCCACCTTGGGGAGTTGTACACTGTCCACGTAACCCCGGTGAGCCCTCAACTAACTCCCTCACCCCCACATCTGACACACTGCTGAGTCTTCAGAGTGATGAAGCCAAAGCCCAAAGGCAGGAAGCTCAGAGACAGGAGAGGCAGCAACGCGAAGAAGCTCAATGGCGCGACGCACAGCAGCGTCAGGATGCTCACATGCAGCAGGACCTCCGAATACGTCAGGATGGCCAAATCCGACCAGAGGCTCAACTCCGCCAGGAGGCCCAGCTTCGCCAGGAGGTTCATCTGCGCCATGAAGCCCAAATCCGTCAAGAGGCCCAATTACGGCAAGAAGCACAGTTGCGTCAAGAGGTGCAGCTCCGTCAGGAGGCCCAACTGCGCCAGGAGGCCCAGCTCTGCCATGAGGCCCAAATGCGTCAAGAGGCCCAGCTACGTCACGAGGCCCAACTGTGCCAGGAGGCGCAACTGCGTCAGGATGCCCACCAGCGAGCAGGAGTGCAGGAGGGTCACTGGGATGAAGCAGGGGAGCTGCGCAGGCAACTAGAGCAGCTGCAGGCTGCATTACGCCTGGAGCGGCAGCAACGGGAACGCCAGGCCCTCAACTTTGACCAGGAGCGACACACCTGGCAGGATGAGAAGGAACGGGTTTTGAAATACCAGGCACAGCTGCAGCTCAGCTATGTGGAAACGCTGCAGAAGAACCAAGCTTTGGAAAAACGTATGAGCCAGTTGGGAGCCAAACCAAACACAACGTCCACCACTACCACTATTACCACTACCACCACCACCTCCCCCACCTCGTCCAATTCTCCACCTCCACCACCAGCCCTCTCACCTCTGTCTCCTCCGCCCCCACCCTCTATCTCTGGCCCCATCGCCCTCACCATCTCCCCACCTTGTGAAGACCAGAAGGGCCCCCCTTCTCTCCACCAGCTTGCCCCTCCCTGGGCAGGACCCTCACGCTTGGAGAGGATAGAGTCCACTGAGATATAGAGACATCTCCATGAAACTTATTGTCCAGTTCAACACACTCATGGGGACAAGGCCTCTCACACAAAACCACTTCAGCATACAGTTGAAAAACATTTCAGTCTACAATAGAATAAATCAGTTCGGTCTGACATACTTTTCAAAGCAACTATAGACACTAGCAACTAAGGCAGACTGCAAAATCCAACATTATCAGTAACAAGCAGATCATCTGAACAGGAAGTTGAACTATATCCAATCTATCAGTTATTTTTCAACCTCCAAACAGTCTTTCACTAGTTGCACACATCCTACATAACCAGTGTTCATGAAAAGTGTGCCAAACTGGTGGCTGGCAGAGAAAGAAAATGTTAAATGACAATGTTTAGATTACAGCACTAATACAGGGGTCATTTCATTCCCATGCTAGAAAAGGACCAAGACAATCAGGGATATTGTCAGAAATTATCAACAAGAATATTATGCGGTATTTATTCATTGTAAGTCTGTGTCACTGGTAATGTAAAAGTAGAATTAGTGGTCAGAGTGTGTGATGTTAACTTGCATTTTTGGCCAGAGAGCGCCTTACTCCATTCTCTCCAGCAAGTATACAAGAATAACTAATGCTGGGAATAGATGAAAAAGAAATCGAGAGTGTGATTATCATTTTTTGTGCTTTAATTATAATATCAGCAAACCAGTTACACAACATTATTACATATGGCTGGACTATTTCATTTAAATCTCAGATATTGACGTTAAAGATCACACAGACCGATTTCTTGATTCAGTTTTCAAGTCATTTCATGCACAGGGTCCAACAGCATGAGTCATTTAAACACATCATGAAGACCAACAGAGTTTATATTTTCTACAAATTGAATTAAATAGATATGTTTAGCAGATAATCAACCCCAAGTTAATATATAATAAGTTTAATACGTGGGCGAACCTGGTTCCCCTTCACTGCGGCTTGTCTGCGGTGACTAAAAGCAAACACTAGAGGTCATTAGAGAGCTTTCTGAGCGCTCCCAACTCAAATTTCTTCTCATTGAGCTGCAAGGAGGATGTGAAAGTAAGCACACAATTTGAATTTCGTTATTATGATAATTGTGTCATTCACGTCGTGCATTTACAGCCAAGAAATCAGTCAGAATCCCCAAAGTTTAAAAAAAAAATATATAGAATGTATGATACTAGAAAGAAATACTTATAATAGGTATAGATTGTAAATGTGTGTGAGTGTGTGTGTGGGAGAGCGGGTGTGTGCATGTGTGTTTACATATGAAAAGCTTCAGCTTATGAGATTGAGGATAGAGGGACTAGTGGCAATACAGCAAGTGAAGATATATTAAGAGCAAAAGGATTTTTTCGGGGGTGGGGGGCTTTAAGTACAGTAAGATGTACATCAAAGCTGGGGGAGTCTGTGTATCCTAGAAAACTCTACTTTCTTCTGTATAGACAAAGCAGGGGAGAAGTAAGTTTAAAAAAAAATCTGAAAAGTGGGAGAGTATGCCTCTTTAAAGGAAGCATTCAGGCTAACTGCACTATGTAGTGTCCTACACACAAGTTATGATGTACAGTAGACTCAGATGTGAATATCATGGCTTTTATATGTGTTGTTTATGCCAGCATACAAAGATGTTGCTCAAGAATATTAACTTATCTCTAAGGTATTACATAGTATTATCATCTTTATTACTGTTATTATATTATGGTGAACTGACAGAGAAAATATGTGCCATTTGAGCTTTCCTTTATGTGTTTTTTTTAACTGTGTAGATAGCCTATTGGCCTACCATAATGGTGCAATCATAGCAACCCTGTCCAAAAATGATGTTCCTTTTGATGTAGGTGATAAATGTAGTTACAGTATTGCATTGTTTAGAGAACAAAATGCTACAGATTTTATACATGTTTCAAATTTATTGTTTGCATTTATGTTATTAGTACTGTTCTGGCTTGATTAAAACCACCCCTTTGTTAAAATTCAGCAGAACTAATAAAGATATGTGAATAATTCAGCACTTTGTGTCACTGAGCAAATCATTTGTCCTGTGGTTAAGATTTTATTCTGGGAATCAAATATCGGAATATGAATTCTAGGCACATGCCTTTTATCACAGCAGTTCAGGATTAAATCTCAGGGGTTATGAGATGATTAACGAGATGAAAGAACATATTTCTTTCTACTTTTACTGTTAATTACTGCAGCTTTACCTCTCTAAACCTCTAAGTATTAAAACAATTAGGACAATAACTGTAAACTTTGGTTAACCTGGCCATATGTGGAAGAGGTATTCAGATACTGTACTTCAATAAATGTAGTAATACCACACTGTAGTAATACTCCATTACAGTAAAAGTCCTGCATTGAAAATACTTATTTATTATTACTTATTATCAGCAAGATAAGTATCAAAATTAAATTGTGCAGAATGGTTTCTTTCAGTACATTAATATATATTATGCAAATTAATTATTAGTACAGATGCATTAACATCTCAGCAGCATTTAAATGTAGTTATAGCTGGTTTAGGTGGAGATGATTTTAACTATTTTGCATGCTGTTGAGTAGTTTTGAAGCAATGCATCTTATTTTACAGGCTGGTTATGTTTTGTAAAATCTTAAATTGTCTGCAACGTATCAAGGACCTTTGTCAAATAAATGTAATCAAAAAGTGCAATATTTTCCTCTGAAATGTAATGAAGCAGAAGTATAGAGTAGCATAAAATCCAAGTGCTCAAGTAAAAGTACCTCCAAATTGTATTTACATTAGCTGTATGTGTGTTTTACTTGTTTTATTGGATTGTCTCTTGCTGCTGCCTCTAGGTGGTCATTGTAAGTGAGAACTGGTTCTCAGTTGACTTATCTGGTTAAATAAAGGTAAAATAAATAAAAGTGTAGTGTAATTAGAGATAATAAAGTGAAACCTTTAAAATGTTAAAAGGGCTAACTATCGACATGTAAGCAGTGTGGAGGGTAAAGACAACATAACGTCAGCAGACACTCAATTAAATTAGGTATTTTTACTCACCTGTTGCATCCTGGACACTGACGAATTTCGCCAAATGTGACGCATGTCTCTTCTCGGTTGCCATACTTGTACTGGCTAAAGGCTAGTAGCTGTTAGCCAGCTACCTTCTAAAGTTAGTCAGAGGAGCCAAATAAAGAGTGAAAACAGCCACGTTGGCCAACGACCAAGCAACGTAAGCTTTGTCTGCTTTAGTGTAACTACGCCGATGTGAACACTGTGAGACTTGCTCAGCATTAGCAATGTTAGCCAACAGCTAACTCGCTGGTGTTAGGTTTTCCATAAGGCAAGCTAACGTTAGCTAGCTAGCTCGGAATGGTACGCTCGTTCTGGAATATACGTTAACGCACAAAGTAACGTCTCTTTAACGGTCATTTATATCTGAGGAGCCTGCACTACTGGCGACCGTTACATTTACAGTTTAATTAATTACAGTCATTTTATTAAATGTAACTTTGTAGTTTCCAGTAACTGCTAGCTGGATCAGAAATTAAAATGAAGGGCTAAATGTTATTTTCATTCATGTTATTTTCATTATCCGTCAATATTCAAGTTACTTTCTCGCTGGTTTGTTCCGTATAATGTCAGAACACGTTGCCATCATGAGGTTGTTAACGTTACTAAGGTTAGGTTAGTTATTTGATAACAGTTCACAAACACTTTTTAAATTTTTTATTTATATATAAATAACTATGACCAAGAACAGTAGCCAGTCCTTAGTTAAGTTAACGTTACATATGAAATGCTGGGACCATCAAATGTTGGGTAGTAGCCTACAGCTTGAAAAATGACTGGAAAGATGAATCAATTATCAAAATAGGTGCGGATTTATTTTCCTTTAATTGACTAATCTATTCAGTGATTAATCATTTAATTAGATAGCATTTCTTTGTGAAATAAAACTGCAAATCCCTACATTTTAGATGTGAATGTTTGGCATTTTCCTTTTTACTATTGCTACTGACTAAACTGGTCAGTCACTAATTTGAATTGTTAAATTTATGTTGATGAACTAATGGATTAATCAACTAATAATTTCAGCACTAACCATAGTGGCGTCCACAGATTTGAGCTGTGTGCTTTATTTTGTGTTTAATCACCAAACATTTGCACATTTTATTGAATGATGATGTCAAACGTAAGGGGAGGTCACCATCTTCCACCTTTCACCGTCTTTTTCATCGCTATGTAATTATCGTTCACACACCTACTGTTGAAAATTGTTAATGGAAGGTGAAGGTCTGTAAAGCTAGCTTTGTTATGAGGTCAAACGTCTAAACTAATAAGCGGACACATCAGCAAAATGTGATTACCTTCTTATAATGTAGGACAGTGTGGTGTGTCAGTGTGTCAGTGTTGAACAGTGGCATTCACTAAATTCTCCATTTGTCCTTCACCTGTAGGCTGACGCAAGGGAACATGTATGGCTCTAAAATGTATATTCTTTTCTCCACAGGTTGGAGAATATGGTTGTGAATCTCTGTCTGCCACACTTTTATACAACAGTTCATTGCAACAAGGTGCGACACATTTCGTGGATCTGTCACTTAACTGTACCTTCCTCCAGCTATTTTTTTTATGATGATGATTTGATGTGCCATTCTTTCCTGTCACATAGGTGACATGTAACTAGAGTTACTTAGGACATTAAACAAGCTAAAACCCTCATTTCTGCACCCACATAATGTCTTGTGAGAGCATCATTCACCTTTCCCCTTGTAAGAAAGTTTAGGAATAGGTCCAATATGTGTTGAGATGAATAAGAAGGAACGTATACAGTGGATGCATAATGGCAAAGGTTTCAGGTAAAGGACAAAGATGTGAAAATAAAGAAGCAGAGGGACAAAGTGCTGTGTGGGTGCCTGAATCACAACTGACCTTGTTATGTTCTTTTTTTTTTTGTTGGTATTTTGTAATCTGATCATGGCTGTATTTTCTCCACACTTGGGATGAAAGATGTTATTTCTCTCCTTTTAATTCTTTTTTTTAACTCCTCTTCTACCATGTCCTTTTTATATTATTATATTGTTATATTGCTTGTGGCTTATCATATTATTTAGTCTGGCTCTAATGTGCTTCTCTAAGACACATTAACAGAGAATACGAGATGTCTTACTTACACACTCACAAATTAACATCTTCATTGTGAACTAAAAATAACTGGACAGACACAGGAAGTTTGCTTTAATGTATTAGTGTACATTTCACTAAAAATGTAATTATTACCTATTTGATCTATTTTTCTTCTGCAGCTATGTGCAGATGGCTATGATGTCACAAACCTTGTGTCGCCCGACCCCGCTGTCCGGAGGCAGGGCTTCAAACTGGAGTACTTCCTGCGTCCACCTGTACAGGTAAGCTTCGGCTTTCGTTCTCCTTTTTAAAACATATTTACCTGTGGCCTTACATTCTGTGGCAGACTAATGCGATCACTACCAAAGAGCACCACTTCATTTCATTTGAATAATTAAATCTTTGAAGTGTAAATTTGGCAAAATGTCCATGTCAGATCAGGCTATTTAACCAGATGAGCCATTACACACACAGAAGTAGCTAATCTTTCTCTTGCAGTGTTGACTTGTCTCTTTAGATAACCTTATCCTTCTTTTCCCATCTTCAAGGCTGGTGTGTGTCTAAAGTAAAATTCTACTTTATGTCCTAGATTGTGAGGGCAATGCTCTTTTTAACTAATGCCAAGAAAAGTTCTCGTTTAAGCATTCTTCATAGAGGTAGCCACACTCAGTGTCATAGTATCAGAAATATTACTGTAAAATTAATAGACGTGCAGTCTTGGAAATATTGCTTTGTATTCAAGTTGGCCTAGAGGCCTTTGCAAACCTAGTCTGTATTTTTCAAGAGTTTTTGATTCATCATCCAATAAAAATCCTTGCACATAAGGCATGAGCACTCTTAAGGCAGAATGCAGCACCTCTTAATTGTCCACTTTTTTTAGGTGGATAGGTTCTGTGGCAGCACTAGTAGTACATTAATCAATTAATACATATATCCATTTCCTCCATTCCTCTCAGGTGACATTGAAGTTTGGCTTCCAGGTGGAGCTGTGCAGGGTGGATGTGGAGCTGTGGCCCTGGGGTATGGACAAAGGACAGGCCTGCAAGAAACTGGAGATCAGCACCAGCTCTGATCAGCGACCTTCCCAGAATATCAGTCAAGGCCACGGACAGGTTCAGCAAAAGGAGCAGATGCAGGTAAAGAACCAGCACGAACAGAACAGAGAAAAGCAACAACAGCACGGCCGTAAATCTCGCCGCAATAATGGCCACCAGTGGAGTCGTCAGGCCCAACAGTGGGGAGAAGAGACTCTAACTGAGCCTGAACGAAGGGGCCATGGGGTCAAGTGTCAGTCAAACACTGAATCCAGTAATCCTGAACCAGAGTTCAAACTGGTAGGTCGTTGCGAACTTAGGGAGGAGACCCGAGTCTGTTTCTCACGTTCAAATTTTAGACCCCGCCCCCCTTTCCTGTCGCTTCCTCCTCCACAACCTGCAAACTGTCGGCAAGAGGAGCTATGGAGCCGGGGTCTGCTCTCATTAGGTGCTGTGACACAACTTCGTGTGACTGTGCCATTCGGCGGTGCAGCATCTGCTCTGGGGCTCAAGGCTTTGGTTGTGTGGGGACAACCTGCTCGCTGCTGCCCCGCAGAAGAAGTAGAGAGGGTTAAAAGAGTCCACGAGGCCAGTGAAAGACGGCTGCCACAACCTGTACTTTTCTCCTCTTCTGTCAGCCAGTCGAAGCCGCTACTGCAAGCAGCTACACCTCCAAGGTATGTTTTTATGAAGCAGCCTTGTATAAAAAAAAATTACATTTCTGTTTAATGTCCTTCTTGTTTTAGATAATAAAGAGCTTATAATAATAAAATCTATACATTTTCTGACAACGTTGATAATTATCTGTTTGCTTTTTATCTGACTCCAGCAATCTTTCCATCCCAGAAGAGTTCCTTGACCCAATAACTCAGGAGGTTATGATGCTACCCATGCTGCTCCCCAGTGGTGTGTCAGTGGACAACACCACTCTGGAGGAGCACCAGAAGAGAGAAGCCACTTGGGGTCGACCACCGAATGACCCCTTCACCGGCGTCCCGTTCACTTCGACCTCCCAGCCTCTTCCTAACCCCCAACTGAAAAGCCGCATTGACCACTTCGTCCTGCAAAAAGGGATGAATAGGAGGGAAGGGATGTTGGGAAGACGAGGGGAGGGCGATGATCCACAGGCCTCAAGACTTATAGCCTCTAAAAGAGATGAACAGTCCCAGAACTCTCCAAGTTTCAGTCAAAGCTCTTCAAACAATACTGTTATTCAATACAGTGCTGGCACCAGAAATATAAACAGGACTCCACAAATAGAAAACACCGGATTAAGACATTCATCAGATAATGGAGATCAAACATCAGACTCCCAGCCTTTTACTACAGATAATAAATCAGAGTTAGAGAGAAGAAAGAAACGAGATCTAAGTGGAATTCCCAAAGAATCAAATGAAGGGTTTACAGCTGAGACGCAACAACTACCTCAAACAAAAAGACCAAGAAACAATGCGGTTTCAAGTGAGTATAACATGCTTTGTAAGAGTAAAACCCTAAATCATATTTCTTTTTTTTTCTCCTGCTTACTTGTCTGTTGTGTCAGTTCACCATATTTCTTCAGTCCCCAGCTCTCATGAGCAGCGTTTGTCAGCCAGCCTGGATGAAGCCCTCTTCTCCGCCCTGCAGGGCCGACCCTCCTTCACCTCAAACTTGTCCCAGCAGAGACTTGTTACTCCTGACTCTGAACCACCAAGCGCCTCACAGCACTGTCACACTGCAGGTACTCCAGGCATGCCGACAGGTTGGAAGTCCACTGTGAAACATTTATGAATAAGAATCGTTGTGTTTTCATTACCTTAGAATGAGCCATTTTTATATACAGGGGGGAGAGGGTCCTCTTCCACGGAGGCTGCCACGTTGAACCGTCATGTTTCTGCAGTAGCCCAGATGGACAAACAAAACACTGGCTCGAGAAAGAGGCATTTTGGCGAGTTTCTGATTCGCAGCAGCCGTAGTTTTCCTACAGGCTTGGAGTGGGGGGGTGAGGCGAGGGGGTTGTAATCTTCAACTACACTGGTAGATGCCAAATCAAATGCCTAAATCCTACACACTGGTCTAACAATGTAGGATTTAGTGACATCTAGCAATCTATCAGTGCCTTCAAATGGTGACCTAGCAAAAAGGAAGATTAAAAAAAAAGGCAAAAATCTTTATTGTAACTTCTCAGATAACTCTAGACGAGGCAACAGAGTCGCATGTATTTCTTGTCTCGGCCCCTTTCATTCTTTTAATGCAGAGCTGTGTTTGATCCAGTCCCGCACTAACATTGAGTATAGAGTTTGTCGAGCTTGAAAAAGATCCCTTTTAGATCTTGCTGTTTAATTTTTACATGAATAGGAGCCTCAGCGCAGCCAGAAGACATGTTGAGTTTATTTCTGAATTGGAAAATGTCCCTTTCTTTCTCATAAACACAAAAGCAAAGCACTTGTTGAGAGGCCTTCTGGGTTGCAAGAAATCAAAAACTGAGGATGTTGTTGGTTAAGAGAAAGGATTTCATTTACAACACATGATAAAAGTCCTCCTGAAATACACTGAAAACACAATATTTTGAGTTTATACCTGTTTACAACGTCTAATGTTAAATCAGTATAAACCCACTGATTTTCTCCTCACATTTGTTTCCCAGGTGAGAAGAAGTGCTCAGCGTGTTCCTGTTCGGTCTCCGTTTACTCTAAATCTGCATCATCAGTCTACCGCCTCACCTGTGGTCACTTGCTCTGCCGTTCCTGTCTGCAGAGGGAATCACAACCACTAAACTCTGTCACTATATCAGCCTCCAATCACATCTTGTGTCCCGCCTGCCAAAGCCCTACACCACGCAGTGACATCGTACGTGTTCATCACTGACCGATGCTTTAAATGGCAAACCTACGCATTCAAAGCCTGCGAGGAGGACTGTACTCAAGCTGAAGACTGGATTGTACTGCGTATGTGGCGTTTTAGTGTTGTGACCCTGCTGAACTCAAAGTGGAAAAAAAAAACATTTATGTCTGAAAGATCCTACATAGATTTATTTAATTGTTTACTTTATTTGATGCTACCTCCATCTTCCTCTATGATCTACAGGATGTCCTCACAGATGTGTCATACTGTTTGCTGTTTATTTTTCTTTGATTTTCCTTGGATCTGTGATGCTACAAAATCAGATCACAGTCTTCTGTTTTACTGTCCTTGGCCATGGAAAGGACATCACTGAAAAAAGACCTTTACAAAAAACATAAAAAAAAGAAAGTAAAAAAACAAAGTCTCTCGTCTCTTCCACCCCCTCTCCCCGTCTTACCCTTTTCATAAAGCATAGTTGCAGCCTTGGTTCTGCAGCCTTTGTACAGACCCTGGATGTGTAGATGATGTTGAGGAGGCACAAAGAAAAGGTTGGGGGACAGGAGTGCTGAGAGCAAGAGGCCAGAAGAATTAAAGTGGAAATTGAGTCGACCCAAGGCTGTGTGGTCATTGTGAAGAAACATTCATCACTTAACGTTCCCTATGCTCTTGTATAGGTTACGTTGTCTTAAGAGGGTAAATGCAGGCAGAACATGTCATGACGAGGGCAGATTGGGACATTTTTGGTATTCATTGATGTTAAAAATAAACTGTATGCTGGTATGAATTCCCACCAGTGTTTATCGGGTAGTATTAAAAAGCCCCCCCCCCTTTAAGGTGCTGTGGTAGGTAATGATTGTGTGCACAATGTTTCCCAGCAGAGACTACAAGTCCTCCAAAATTGCCTTGCACATGTATTCATTTTCTGCCTCTTAGCACTTCACCCTAATTACCTCTTATGAGGATGTTATTGAATGCACAAAAGTGTTAAACAACCTTAAGTCAGAAATAAAAAAACAGCATTTATTGGTCTTCACAATCACACACAGCATACTTTATGTTGGTTTCCCTGACAACACGAAGCTTAACCAAGGTCATGATCCTGTATCCGCTCAGTAAGAGCAAAAACTGGAACCAGTTGTTCTGCATGTGAAATAGAGACATCAGCGTTACTGTTTGTGGCGGCAAGTGGTCAATAACACCATACTGAATCAGACTGAATTACTGCCTCTACTTATCAAATTGACTGATTGACTTTATACACTTAAAATCTAAACTGAAGCTCATTTTTGTGCTTTCTACATGTCAGAAATGTAAAAAGGTAAATCCACCCTCAGGCTGTAAGTTTATTAATCCAATCATCATTTTATTCATTTACATTTAAGCATTATCATGGTAGCAGGAGTTGAGTTGTTTCTATTTATGAGAGGAAATGATTTTAAATGTGTTTTATGAAACTTCATTGTTCAGGTGTACAGTAATTTAAAATAAAACTCCATTTTGTATTTATTAAAGGATCAAGCTTGAATGCTGTGATACTAATCAAAGAACCCCCTTCACACCTTAACCTGCTGCTCCTGCTGCTCAGTTTTGCCATTTATCGTTTACAGCTAATCGGCATCACAACAGCTAATGGGTGAGACACAATCCTGAGCATGCAACAAGACACTGAACGGAATAATGAACTTCAGATGTTTCTGTTTATTTGAAATGCTAATCTTGTTGTGCTCATTAATAGTTTTAAATCACAGCAGGAGGATAATTCCTATGACCTTGAGGTTGTCATGATGCTTGCACAGTTGCCTTCATGAGTGAAGTCAAAGATATAGCTATGTCCTGCAGTGATGAACGCTGAATTGTGCATGATCCTCCTGAAATGTACTTAATCAGTGCGCTTATTAATTAGCTGTCCCGCTTATTGCTGTAAATCTAATTAGCTGTCCACAAGTCTCATTAGTTGTTCATGGCGTGCCATTTTTAGTGTGCGCCCTCTGAGATTATTCACAAAAGTTATTCCAAATAAATGTGGCGCAGTCTTGAATACAGAAAAAGGCATCTTCGGCTGTCGGTGCTGTTTTCTTGTATAGATTTGTTAGATGGCACACATCTGATGCAGAGCCACATCTGCTGCGACCTCTCTCGCGCACGCCGGGCGCACGGTGGCCTTCGGACGCGCGTGCGTGCGTAGAAAAGAGCGGCACGACACTGACGTCAGATACGGGTGTCAATGGCTTTGTCGGGTCATTTCCATCTGCTTATAAGAGGGATCGACCGGGAAACCAGTCAGACATCCACCCAGGCGGAGGACATTACAGGAGCTCATCCAAAAGCAGCAGCGATGCCTCACTCCATGTTCCCCCTGTGCGTCCTGGGACTCCTCGCCCTCTCCTCCGCCTGCTACATCCAGAACTGCCCCCGAGGAGGCAAACGAGCGCTGCCGGAGACTGGGATCAGACAGGTGAGCACCATCCTTTCTGCCTTCTTTTAGGGAAATCATCTTTAACTTTCTGAAATGTTTCTTTTTTTCCTTCCTATTTTAGTCTTAAATTGGAAATTTCCTAAGCTGCCTTTGAGCCTATTCAATGTATACTAACAGTAATAATGATTGTGATTCTTTATGTAAAATAAGGAAAATTCAAAGTGTAAAATTAGGGAAATAAATGTACAAGATGAGATTTAATATCATTGGTTTAGTGATTTTTGTTCAGAGGCGTAAAGAACAACCCAGGCTTTTTAACTTACTAAAAACTGAACAAAAGATGGAAGGGACCATAATAATAATCAGTTATCAGATAGCAATAACAAACTAGATCAGAAAAACAAATGTAAAGTTGCATATGGTATGTGAAGGACAAGTTCTTTCCAAAAGATAGCAGCAAATACCTTATAGTATTAATAATAATACATTTTATTTATAGAGCGCTTTTCAAGAAACTCAAAGACACACATAAGTTAAAAAGGAAAAGAAATAAAACTTTATCTACAACCTGTTCTTTTTAACATTTATATTTACCTGTTTAAAAAGTATGTGTGCATATGATAAATGTGTGTATTGAAGCTTATAAGGGAAACAAAAACTGCATGATGTGACACATTTAAAGAGTTTTTATATTCTTTTTATTCTCACAATTTCTGGTGTAGAAACAAATTAATAAACGCATTAGAAATATACACAAACTTATACCAAAGAAAGAGAAATGAGCAACAGAAATTCTGCAGCCATTATTGCTTTCCAGTATTTAAAAATCAGCCTTTTTCCGTTACCCATTATCGACACTGTTTGAATAAGAGAGTGATGAGTGATAAGTGTCATCTGAACATTAAACAAATACGCTGTCAGATTAGAATCAGACAAAAATAATAGACCTGATTTATAGCACATGATTAACGCTTAAATCTGTTTTCCTCCAGTGCATGTCTTGTGGCCCCAGAGACAGGGGCCGCTGCTTCGGCCCCAGTATCTGCTGCGGTGAGGGCCTCGGCTGCCTGCTGGGCTCCCCAGAAACAGCCCACTGTGTGGAGGAAAACTACCTGCTCACCCCCTGCCAGGCGGGAGGGAGACCCTGTGGATCTGAGGGAGGACGCTGCGCTGCTTCAGGGCTCTGCTGTAACTCAGGTACAGTCTGGTTTGAGTGAATACAATTGGCATGTTCATGCAAGTTAAAAAGTGAATTAGTTTGGGGGAACAGTTTGAATAACATGACTCTCCTCTCCTCCTCCCCCTCAGAGAGCTGTGCGGTGGATTCTGACTGCCTGGGAGAGGCCGAGGTCTCAGATCCAGCAGACAGCTCTACAGGGAGCTCGCCCGCAGAGCTGCTGCTCCGCTTGCTGCATGTGGCCACCAGAGGACAGACTGAGTACTGATACTGTTCGAGGCTTCCTCTGCTTCTCAGGGCCTGGAGGTGCAGAATGAAGACCATTGCCGTTCCACTATAAGCCTTCGAGATTTAAACCCTTAACCAATAAAGTGCCAAGTCAAACTTTGTTCTCTCTTAACCCCTGCTGTTGTGATATTTCTGTATCTGTAAAGACAGAAAAAGAACTATCTTCAACCTTAGTAATTGGCTATTTTTATCATGTTTGTTCCCGCCATAGAAATGTATATATTAATGCACATACTGTAAACAAAATTGTATTCTATATGAGGTGGATGTAACACGCCTCAGAGCTCCATTTAAAATAAGTTATAGCAGAAAATAATGTAAATACTTCAGAGATTGAAGATTAGGTTGCCACAGACATCCATGTAAAGCAGCTGAATGACAATGTTAGAGCAGATACTTCTTGTGTCGTAGAAATATCATTGTATATTGAAAATGGGAGAAAAATACAGAATGTATCACTGCCAAAAAAACTTCCACTGTCTGCTCTCGTTATTCTCAAGCTCAAAATGACTATGTCTTTACCAGATGAGTCACTGATAAAACTTGTTTACCTCCTGTCTTATCATGCATTAGTTTTGATCACTTGAACTATTTCCAGCAGACACAATTTGTTAGGGTGCCACCATTTACAGCTGAAAAAAAACAACTAAAATTAATGTTAATACTGATATAAGGGTCAAGAAGGGACAACAAAGGCTGGACTGTTTTAATAGGATTCAGTTTTAAGGTAGATTCAAAAGTGGCTGTTATAAATCATTTATTGAGTACACATGCTCACACATCAGACAGTGTTTAAGGGGAAACCAGTCCAATGCCCTTCAGTCATCTCCTTCAAGAACACAACTTTCTCTGTTGTGTATCAACAGGTCCAATGTGCGTAGATGAAGCAAAGTGAACCCCATTCGTCATATATCCTTGTAAGTGATGATTGCAAGCTGATGTTTATGCCAAGACCATATGTGGTGGCAGTTTGTCTGTAATTTGTTACAGATCCAGCTGGAGCACGATGTAGGACCTCCCAGATTCTGACAGTTACTTGTTGACTGATTCAATAATTGTTGTACATCTGATTGAAAAATCTTGTTTCTTTTTACGTTGAAAAACCTTCCATGGTTTAGCTGAAACATTATCGACATTTTCATGAATTTCATCAATTTTGTGTTTCTTTCTTTCTTTCTTTCTTTCTTTCTTTCTTTCAAAGGACCAGTGTGTAGGATTTAGTGGCATCTAGCGGTGAAGTTGTAGATCACCATTGCTACCCTCCCCTTACAAGCGCGAAGGAGAAACTATGGTGGCCGCAAAATGTGCGAGAAACGTGAATGTCCTACCTAGAGCCAGTTTCCCTTCTTGGCTACTGTAGAAACATAGTGGTTCAACATGGCGGGCTCCATGGAAGGCGACCTGCGGCATCTGTAGATATAAAAAGGTCACATGACATGTTATTCAAAATAACAGTTCCTATATTCAGATAACCAAGAACACTTGTATTGAATCAGTTTTTATATGAGGATAAGTTATGTGCATGCTCTTAAATAAGTGTACATTCAGATGCTCAGCCATAAGGATGATTTATGTTTTGTGGGGAAAATACAGAAGTTGAATAACCATTTTCTCTGTATGGTGCAAATGTGTTAAATGGCATATTTCTGTTCATATTGATATCTAAAGTGTATGTGCATGTGTTGTAGGAAAAGCAGAGAGATGTTGCCATTGTTAGCTGTTTAGCTTTAGTTTTAGAGAGATGGTATTAAACTTGTCCCAGCATGTGAACCTTCAGTCAGTTGAATCAGTTTAACTGAGAGTATTCTGTCATCCAGTAATCACCATGGTGTAATACAAAACCTTCAGTCCTGTTCAGCTTTATGGTATCCAGCATTGATGTTCAACTTGTTTTGCATTTCATCTGCTATTATCTTTAAAAAAAAAGCCAAACCCCAAATCATCCCAAATAGTATAATGTGCTCTAGAAAATGGTAAAACACTGATATTGTTGTACAAATCTAAATGGTATAACATTTCCAATCACAGAAATTGGAAGATTGAAGACACAATTCATTAGTCTAAAAAGAATTCAATCAATTATAATATTCCATTATAAATTTACAACATTGTCCAACATTCTTCTTCATAATTGTTCTTAACCCTGCATTGCAGCTGGCCTCGCAAAATGCTGCATCACAACACAGAAAATCCCCAAACGGCTGCTGCTGAAGGTTCACAGATGGAAGGAGCAAACAAATGACGCCGCCTGTGACCTCCGTGCACTGGTGTAAGTGGTGAAGATCAATAATGAACCAAATGATTACAGTGATTCTGCAGTATAGAATCCTTTATTCATATCAAATTCATGTTATTCTGTATACAGTCTAAACCTAGTGGAAAACTAGCAATGACAATGAAATGAAATGCTCAGCCATAAGGATGAGTGCAGTGAGTGTAATATGGTTACATATAAAAAAAAAATGGTATTTTTTTGCTGTTAACTGAAACTGAAACATAATTTCCTTTTCTTGTTGGTTCACAGACTGTATTTAAAGACCAGGGACAAGCCCATATGTGTTGATCTCAGCTATAAAAAAGACCTGGAAAGGCTTAAGCGGAAGCAGCACTCGAAGAGAGGACTTTACAGAGCATGAACAATTTCACAAACTTTGTGTACTGTGTTTTCTACAGTTGGTGTCATACAAAAGTCCTTGTGATTGTTTCTTTTTATTAACTATGCAAAATATCCAGATTAACTTGTGAAAAGCAGCTATTCACTACTTCATATGTATAATGGTGGAAAGTTACTAAGTATGTTAACTCACATGCTGTACTTTTTGAAGGTGGTTGTACTTGAGTTGTTCCATTTTAACCTACTTTATCCTTTTACCACACAACATTTCAGTGGGGAAATGTTGTACTTTTTACTCCACTACATTTATACAGCTATAGTTACTTTTCACATTAATATTTTAAATACAAGACATATAATGACTTATATAATCTGATTATGTTACCTAATACCTAAAATTACCTAATAGTATATGAAGCGGTTAAATCGGCTCAACTGTCCGTGACATTAAAGTGCAGCTTACATGTTTATGTAGTGATTCAGTTGATCCAGTAATAGAATTATATAACACTGACAGGGACTATTCTGCATTAACAGTACTTTTACATACATTTTACTTATAATGGAGTATTGCTACTTGTACTGATGTGAATACCTCTTTCACTGCTGCATTTATACAAAAATTGGAAAATAAAAAATTAAAAACCTCAGTAAAATGTTATTCCTTTGTTGTTTTTCCTTTTATGTTATTTTTATGTGTGCCTCCAAATGTCTACAGTCGTGGTGATGATGATCTAATAAAAAAGTTCTGAATGCAACACTGCTATTGGGAATTACTTACTAGTAATTTAAGAATGATACAGGTCCAAATTTTGTTTCAGGGACTTTCTGATAAAGCTATGAGGCTCAATGGTCTGGGCCAACAGTGGGCATCAGTGGACTCATGAATATCATATTAATACAGAATTTAATTTGTATTTGGTAATACATTTTCACATGGGAATGTTCTCTGCCATAACCTATTTGTGCTAGATGATGAGAGCAAGATCTATTTAAGCACTCAAAAAATACTGATTTTTATTTATGAGTAATCCATGATTATTGTAACTTGAAATGTAACTCAAGATCTTTAAAGAAATTAGAGTAAAATGGACATGAACTTTCTTGTTCTGTCTTGTCCTCTGATCAAAACCCTGACCCGCTCCCCTCCTTTGTCTCCTCTGACTAATCCCACAGAGACAAGCTGCTACATAATGGCTAAAAGCTTCTTGAAAGCGTCACTGAGCTGATTGATTTCATTCCAAAGTGAGTGATCCTCTTTAAAAACGGAGGTAAGAAAGATTATATCCAACACTGGGGCAACATTTCACTCTTACTCAGATTTTTAGATAACTACTTTTACTTACTTAAATAAAACAATAATGGATGGTTGTCTACTAAATACTACTAAAGTGTTGTCAAGATGCAATCTCTAATACTTGACTTCACTACTAGGTATTACATTTTTGAGTGCTAAATATGTGGAGGGTGAGGCGAGGGTGTTGCAGCAACTACACAACTAGATGCCACTAAATCCTGCATACTGGTCCTTTAGATCGTCTAAGACTGAAAGAAAGTGTGCACCCATGAAATGCTGACACTGCTTTTAGTATTCTGCAGCATGTAACATTCAATCCGGAAAAGTTTGAAATAAATCTGCTCGTTTTGTGCACAAATACAAGCAAAAGCAAACTCAGAACAGGCCTCAGGCTGCATCTGATATTGCTGTAGTTGTACAGCCCTCCAGGTTACATTCATTAACGATTACTCAGAAGCTTTTATGTGAATCCTCACTTTGAGTCATATTACTACCCCAGTTATACAGTACACCCATAATGTGGTCATTTTGGACTTAGTTGATGTCTTATCAAAACCCAAAAGTGGCCATGTAAAAGTTAGTTGCCAAAAAAGGTGAAAAATAATCCATTGTTCACCACTTCATTCACAGTCACCAACATAGCGCTATTAATCTGGTTAAGACAGCTGTTATGATGATGAATACCTCATCTCTTTGAAACAGCAGAAAACCACCTACAGCAAATTGCAGTAATCTGCTCTTTGAGTCACTCTGGCTCTTAAAAATACTTTCTCATATGTGTCTGCTCGAGTCAGAGCAGGTTTCTCCAGTTGTCAAACAGCCTTTAATGTAAAGAGACTTTCGACATCTTGCGCCATTCACTCAAAAAGTTCTTATTTGTTACCACACCAGTAAATCCAAGCAGTTAAAATGTCAATCAGGGCCCATGACATCATCACAACAGTGTATGAAAAAATATTGAGAGAACAAACAAGATAGTGTCAGATGGGGCCACAGCACAAAGTTACCGTAAAAACACACAACATGTCACAGCTGTGCAATGTTGAACTCTTGCCGACAGCCTAATCTGTTATCATTATCATCAACAGCATTAAACTGTCAGGAAGGTTTGGCTGTGACTCATCTTGCCTCAAAAGGCATCATGTTGAAAAGTTGATCAAAGAGGGATACATTTTGTTTAAAAAAAAAAAACTAAACTAATTATTATTTGCAACTTTAATGTAAATGAGAAATAGATGGCCCTAAGCATGTGAGAATACAATAGAGCAGACTTGCACAAACAACTGCTGAAAGTGAATCTGAAGGAGGAAGTGCCTGTGGTTAACTGCAGCTCAAGATGTTCTCTTTTACGAAAAAGACTTCACAGATATGATGCAATAGCTCCCTCTAGTGGAAGACTGATCACAATCAGCTTTATTGGCCAAGTATGTGTACACATGAATATGACTCAAGTTGCTCTCAGTGTTATATATATATATAATACAAATACAAATAAAAACAATGACAGCAAAGTTGAACAAAGATAAAGTAAACACAGAACTACAAGTAGCTGAAAAATGCAGCAGAGGTAAAAACAAATAGGTCTACCATTAGACATTGAAAGTGGTGTGCAAAGGAATGTACTGTACAACTGTGATCTTCATTGACATTTAACTCTTCCCCAGGTTTGAGTGTGTTCATGCTGAATAGCAAATGTTTGTAATGTACTCGACACAAGCAGACCCACGTGCCCCTGCAAAGTAGCGCCACATTCTGCATACAGTACTTTCTGCTTTCAGAGTTTCACTCAGGAAACTGACTCCAAAATTATATCATCCTGCTTGCTTTGGTTGATCGTATCTTCACTGTCAGACAACTTGTTACAGCCCTTGACTCTTTTAATACCTAATAAAACATGAATAATAATCTGCACATATTAGCAAGGTGGCTGTCATATATAAGATAGCTTTGAGAAACCATACAATCTGATATCAAGCATCTCAGTTCTCTGATTAATGTCTATGGATAATGTAGTAGTCAGTCTTCTTCTGCAAAGTGCTTTTTTATCAGCATAATTGTCTCAACAAATGTAACATGCCAGTACAACTTTATCCACTCAGATCTACCGGTAACAGTTATTGAAAACTGCTGACTCCAGCATTCAAATGAGGAAGTTTGTCTTCCAAACAGCAGATTTATGGGTGCAGCACACAGGGAGTGTTACAGAAAGTGCTTTACTTGCCTACTGAAGTGTGGTGAATACTTTTAGTCTAACAGTGTAACTAGCATACAGTTCCTCAGATATATATGTTACACACACAAAAAGAGTTGTATATATGATATGAGGCTTTGGGTGGTATCTTTTTTCTCTCCACAGAATGAAGAGATACTTGCCAGTGAAATATTTACATATTATAACTGGGTTAAGCTGTACATGGTTACATATCTTAACAGGACATTCGCTGTAGCATGTATGACTGTTAACCGAGGTAAAATGTCCTCATGTGACCTACTGACCAGTTGAGTCACCTGAGGAACTTGCAAATGTGTGACAAAAATAAGTATAGTCTTTCGTCCACATACTTTGTGTGCCATGGTTTTGGATTTGCATGTTTAACTACCATACATGAGTTGAAATTCAACTCATAGCAGCCACATCATTTGAGCCATGAGCTTCAGTCTGATAAACAATGTGTTTACTGTGGGTTGTAGATTTCTAAGCGTAACAGTAAACTTGAGTAACCACTACAAACTGTTTAAGTTACAAATTGGGGGAAAAAAAAGATGATTAACAGAAATAAAGCTCAGGTTATGCAAACCTTCCACACGTCCAGACCTTTTTAAAGCAAGAATCGACCAGATTTTCAAATAAATCAAGAAAACTTTTACTTTTTCACAGCAGCCAGTTTAATATGAAATAGTAGGGTAAACACCACCAATGTTACCAATGATGCTAATTAAGGTTAAATTAAAGCCTCTGCTACACTAAATGGAACTGAACCTTAATTAGTATCATTGATAACACCTAGGGTTTAACCTATTTCATGTCAAAACGGCTGCCGTGAAAAATGTCTATTAAGGAGAAACGATGGGAAAGGAAGATAATAAATCCCTCCTTGCTCCAGTTATTGGTAGCTTGTTTAAATAAAGTTTGCGAGGAAAATGGGGGGAAAAAAAATTCTCTAAAAGTTTGTTGATGTCACGTGACTTCCTGTTAAGGATGTAACCATTGTGGTTGACGTCCGCCTACTGCTCCGCCGCCAGGTCCTCTAGTCCTTGCCACTAACACCAGGAATTACTCCGCCTCCGAATAACAGTTTCTAAAGGTGTCTTTCTAAGGTCTGACCATGTCCGCCAAAGACTGTCAAGAAACTGTTGAGCACTCCGTCCAACTCAAGTTCTTCTCCGCTGTGTTTTACGCCGGCAGCTCGTTTCTCATCACGGTGGTGAATAAAACAGTGCTGACGAGTTTCAGGTATGTGTCGCTTTAGTCGCGCTGTCATCGAGTCATTCATGCTCTGTCACACACAGACACAGACACACACACACAGAGACACACACACAGGGAGCTTATGCGCTGCCACTGAATGAGTGATTCATGGAGTCACACTGAGCCCGCTGTAATACTCTTAATGTGGCGGTTTTGCAGGTTTCCCTCCTACATGTGTCTGGGCATTGGCCAGGTAAGTGTTTTTTTTCTTTACCTTCTTTTTTCTGTGTCTCTCTCTCTCTCTTACACACACACACACACACACACTCACACATTTCATGGTCACTTTGCTCACTTTCAGATGATCACCACTCTT